CAAGGTGGACTTATCTGTGAGCCCCACAGTTAGACCTTTCTCACTGTAAATATGCTTCCTAAAGTAAAAGTGAGAGCTTGCACTCACCAAAGCCTAACAACAGTGCTAATATATTCCAAGTGCTTAATTACATGTATGATGAATAAACAAACAAGATGGCTAGTCACTGTGATCAAAGGCAATTAAAAAATGACCACAGCCCATGGTCTCATGTGCACTCAGGAACAGACACCATCAGTCTAAAAACTCCAATCCAAGCTACAGCACTGACGCTGTCTCCCTCCCACAATGTGACTGGCGAGAAATGCCGGTCTGATCACATCCAAAGACCAGCTAGCTTGCCACCAGAATTCAGGGATTGTCACACAAACTAAAACTGCTTGCTACAGCTCCTCTGCAGACTTGAAGTCAGGACTCATCTATAAACCAGGCTGTGCTATTTACAACTGATTCGGAAGCTCTTGTCCAAGTAAAGGGAATAATAGGAAACAGCCAGACACAGTCCCCCGAACTGAAAACCTCAATACTTACAAGCTTACTGACTTGACGGGCATTGATCTGGCTCCATGCAGAAGTGCTTCCACTGAATGGGGCATTGTTAAAACTGTGTACACCACTTGGTGCTCTTTATCAGGCCCACCAGAGGCAATCCCTCCTCAGGCCCCTGGGTAGCAAACGCTGCCCTTTCACGTTCAAGTGCTCATCTCACAGGCACTGGCAACTCTGGGACAGAAATTCCATTTACTCTCACTACCAGGAACTACCAGATGCATTCTCTAAATCCCTTCTTAGACCATGGAAAGGGCAGCAACAAATTGTTATATACTTACTGTGGCTCCATTTTTCTAGCCACCTTTGTTTTCTCTGCTCCTAATTCCATTATCCTTATTTTTACTTTTATTTCATCTTACAACTTCCTGAAAGTGCATACAAATATTCGTGAAACTTTGAAAGGAAAACAACTATACTTCTTAAAACTTCAAATAACCACAATACTCCAAGCCGGTTTTCTTAAGGACCTATTATTCTCATATGCTGCAAAGCTGAGCATGCAAAACTCCTGCTACTAGAGTCACATCATGGTACCTTACATACAGTACCAAAATTGGAATCCATAGACCCAGATCCAGTTCTACTTTCTAGGTGACCATGGTGATTGATCTTTCAAATGAGAGTAACATTCTTTGTTCTCAAATATGGTTCTGTGGTCAGCATGAAAAATGTTTTTCAAGAAGAAGATATATATAGGCTCATGCCTATATCTTAGCTACTCAGGAGGCTGAGATCTGAGGCTGTTTGAAGCCAGACTGGGCAGACAAATCCAAAAGAGTCCTATCTCTATTTAGTGGGCAAAAAGCCAGGAGTGAAGATGTGGCCCAACTAGAAGAATGCCAGCCTTGAGCAAAAAAAAGCTAAGCAAGAGCACAAGGCATTGATCTCAAGTCCCAGAACTGACAGAAAGAAAGAAAGAAAGAAAGAAAGAAAGAAAGAAAGAAAGAAAGAAAGAAAGAAAGAAAGAAAGAAAGAAAGAAAGAAAGAAAGAGAAAGAGAGAAAGAAAGAGAGAAAGAAAGAGAGAAAGAAAGAAAGAAAGAGAGAAAGAAAGAGAAAGAGAGAGAGAAAGAAAGAAAGAAAGAAAGAGAGAGAGAGAAGGAAGGAAGGAAGGAAGGAAGGAAGGAAGGAAGGAAGGAAGGAAGGAAAAGGCTATAAGGTAAAAAAGTTATATGCTATATGTGTATACGTAAATATATATATATATATGCAAGTATCTCCTCAACCTCTATCATCAAAATTTTATATTCTGATGATAGCAGTGGAGATAAGCTATTTTACACTTTATAAAAACATTATTATCCGACTGCAAGGGACATGCTAACAGCCCATGAAAAGGCAGGCTTTTCTCCACCTCATGCACAACAAACCACCCAGCTTCACACTGCTCACTCAACTCCAGCATCCCCTCCTCCAGGATCTCCACACTCAGTATGTAATCACATTCCTCAGCTGTAGTTCAACTGCCTAACCTGTGGTCATGTGTAACATTTCATCCCCCATAGAAACATAAAACCCTTAGAAATCACACCTCGCATTTCCATCAGTTTGTCTACCAGATGCTCTTACTATTCAGTGGCAGTAAGCTGAAAGGGGACCACAGGCCTTCTAACAGCTCACAATCCACTCTATGTCTATGCTGCTGGTGGCAGCACAAACTAGGCTGCACCTTTGAACCAACAACCCAGGAACATAATTAACCAGTATAAAATATGTACCATATAACCAGTAATCTCACTCCTCAGACTGTCCTAAGGATTGCAAAAGAAAATGTCTTTATGCTCAAAGATGTTCATCACGGCATTATTTTAACAGCCAAAAATGCTCAAACAAAAAGGAAATTAGTAAATTATCATATAAAAGCTACCAGCTTTTATCAATATGCACCTGACCATTCAAAACCTCAACTCTTCAACACCCCAATTCGTTCAGCACCTCAATGTTCAACCTGACCATTCTAGAGTGTACACCCACTGGGAGGAGCCTATGACAGTGAGTGATCGGAACACACAGAGCAGATGGCATCATTGCCTCACGCCTGTAATCCTAGCAGATGGCAGTAGAGCTGAGATCTATAAGATCACTGTTTTCTGCCAGCCCAGCAGAAAAGTCTATGAGAGTCCATCTCCAAAAGAGCCGGTAAAACAATAGAGCAAGAGTCATGGCTCAAGTGGTAGAACAGCAGCAGAGCAAGAAAGCTGAGGAAGCACAAAACGCTGAGTTCAAACCCCCCAAAACCACACAGCAGTATTTAGCCTCTGATTAGAAAGGCCAGGTGGACCAGGACTAGAAGGCAAATTTGGATACAGAAAGTTGCTATGCTAAAATTGTAGAACTAGCTGATGTTTACTTATTTCCCTAAATTTTATTACTGCTCTCTTAGTGTTTGTTTAAAATGTTATTAAAATACACAAACATGTATACTTCACTCTGTCTTCAATATTAACTTTGGGAGGAAAATCCATGCATCCTAGCCTGGCTGCTGACAACAGCTGAAAACTACCCAGTGGCACCTGTGGCGCTTGGAGAGCACTCTCTAATGACTGCCCACCAAGGCTGCAGGACAGGTAATTCATTAACCTCATGTCAATGATCACTTAACACCCTTTCCTACATGATCACGCCAAAGACGATACATCTCCACATGACTCTCAGGAGGGATTAAATTTGAAATTGCTGAGTACTTAAGTTTAGAGATAATTGAAATTTAATAAGCATGCTAAATTTAGAGAGAATTTTTAAATGCTAATACCCAATGCTGAATAGAGAAGAGTCTTTAAAAATTAGAGAAGAAAACTTGTATAATCTTTCTGGAAAACAATCTGACTATGTTTATAAAATAGTTTTTAGAATACTCAGACTTTCTGACTCAGTATTACACCTCTATCAGAAATATATGAGGCGCTGGTGATTTACGCCTATAATCCAAGTTACTCAGGAGCCTGAGATCTGAGGCTTGCAGTTCAATGACAGAAATGTCCATGCAAGTCTTATCTCCAATAAACCAGCAAAGAACCAAAAGTGGAGGTGCGACTCAAATAGTAGAATTATAGCTTTCAGCAAAAAAGCTAAGAGAAGAGCATAAGACCCACAGTCTAAGCCCCATTACCAGAGGAAGGAATGAAAGAGGAAGGGAGGGAGGGAGGGACGGACGGAGGGAGGGAGAGAGGGAGGGAGGGAGGGAGGGAGGAAGGAAGGAAGGAAGGAAGGAAGGAAGGAAGGAAGGAAGGAAGGAAGGAAGGAAGGAAGGAAGGAGAATCAGAGAAGCCAGGTGTCACTGACTCACACCTGTCACCTTAGCTATGCAAGAGCTTGAGATCTAAAGAATCACAATTCCAATCCAGCTGGGGGAAAAAAGGTCATGACATTTCACCTCAACAGAAAGTTGGGCATGGTGGTATACAACTGTCATCCCAGCTACGAGTAAAGTAGAAATAGTAGGATCATGGTCCAGGCCATCCTAGGCAAAAGTATGCCCTTATCTTAAGAAAAAAATATTTTAATAAAAGAAAAGAAGCTGGAGGCATAGCTTAGGAGGTAGATCACCTGCCTAGCAAGCAGGAAATCCAAAATTTAAATCCCTGTACTGCCCTCATCCCCCAAAAGTCAAACAACCCAATGTGCTATAATAAAGGTCAAGTTAAATAAATTATAGAGCATCTATTCTATGTAATGGAGTATTATACTGTCACCAAAAAAAAAAAACAGGTTTCTGAATATTGGCAACATGCCCACAAGTGAACAAGAGAATGAAAAGAATCAAAAGGCAGGACACAAAACTATTTCACCTTGAAGTAAACCAGGCCCAAAGAAATAGGTTCCATGGTTTCCCTTATTTGCAATAACTAGTATATGTCTGAGTCAAGCGGAAAAGGTCAGATAATCTGATGTTAGGGAAATGAACCATAAGATATGCATTCAAATGTTTTTTTTTCTTTCATGTGATTGTTTCTAACACATTTATAAGATTATTTCTTTGTTGCTTTGTATGTCCCTCCCCCACGCTATAACCCCTGCTTTCACTGTATTTGATGTTGGTATAATTTGTGGAGGGGAAGGGAAAAAAACACATCATTTAAATAGGGATACAGGTGGACCCATTGCAACAATGAGATGTACAAGTCATTACGTCAAAAACGAACTTTACAACTTTGGTGGGGGGGAGGTATATTGGGTGGGGGGGGGAGAAGGGAAAGAATGGGAAGGAGAAACAAAGGAGGAGGCTACAATGCTTCATAAGAAATGTACTCATTATCTTGCCCATGCAATTGTAACCCTCTGTTCAGTATTTTCACAATTTAAAAAAAAAAACTATTTCACCTTGATACTAGTAGAGAAAGAGTATAATGGACTGAACATCAGTCCATTATACTGACCCTGGTCCTTCCTAGTTGGGGGGATGATGAGGTTTCCAGCACTGAGTGTGAACACACGCAGCAGGCACACTCACATTGGCAGTTCGAGCTCCTCGGCTGCCCTCCCGCCGGGCTTCGTCCAGCTCTTGCTCCAGCCTCGCCTTCTCCTGCTGCAGCTCGCCCAGCTCCTGGCTCATCTTCTTCATGTTCCTTCGCAGCCTGTGGTTCTCAGTGTTCTTGGTGAGGTTTTCCGAGTGCAGCTCAGCCAACAGGGCTTCCTTCTCCGCCAAAGCAGCCTGGTGATCTTCAGACCCCTAGAAGAGAATGGACAGGAGGAGGGAGGGCGCTGATCTTCCCCACTTCAGGGCACAGTCCCAGAAGCCAAGAAAAAGATGAGCATCCACAGCACCCAGTCACAAGCCACAAATAACAGCAAGCCCTAAGCAACACAGGACAATGTGCCTGTAATGACACTAATGGGAAGGGAGGGAAGTCAGTGCTTTTCACAACACATGAAGGAAAAGCACAAAAGAAAATGTTAACCGGCACTGACTTCACAGAGTGGGACTGCAGTTTACATTTCAATTCATTTCCACGAGAGCATGTTACTTTAATAAATGAATTAAAGAAAACTTAATGCAGTCACTTTAGACATAGTTCAGTGGTGGAAGGTGCACCAGCACTCAGGGGTCCCTTGGGCAGATCGGGTAGATGGCCAGTGTTGGGGGGGGGGGCGGGGAGCTTGGAGGCAGAGCACCAGGCTAGCAGGCACAAGGCCCTGGGTTTGATCCCTAGTGCCATAAAACACAAAGAAGCAGGAAATGAAGAGCTTCCTTTGTAAAGCAGATCTGAATCCAAAAGCCAATAATGGTCTCCTATGTTAGCCTGGCTCTGACCCACAGGCATCCCAAGAAAAGGGAGCAAGTAGTCAGCACAGTTGCCCCTTGGAGAGCTTCAGGAAACCTGGACTTCAGCAACGACCAAAAGCTAAAGGGGTCAAGAATATCTTAAACTCATTAATTCACCAATAATCAAAAAGAAACAAAGTGAAACACGTTTCCAGTTGTCAACTAAGATTTTTTTTCTTAATGGTACTGAGGTTTGAATTCAGGGCTTCACACCTCTTAGGCAGAGAGCTCTGCCACTTAAACCACACCTCCAGCCCAATAAGATTGTTCTCAGAGCTCTTGATACTAGTTGAGCTTATGATATGACACCTTTCCTACTGATTCTTCAAGAACTGGCTATGCCCCTAGAAGCCAGGAAGTAAAGTAGAAAGAATACAAATGAACATAACCCTCTCAAGATAGATGATGCATGTCAAGCACATGTGCTCAGCAGAGCAGGCTCACACGCATCCCAGTTACTCAATCCTGGAAGAACCCAAATACAGGGGAAGCCTTATATACAAAGTCATCCATCACAGAATTACTAACAACAGCAAAAACTAAGAAGCCACCTAAATATGCAATACCATAAAAATAAAGTGACACACAATGAAAAGACTCAATAACAGTGCTATATGAAAATAAAACACCACCACTGCAAATGACCTTAAAAGAAAAAAACTACACATGTAAGAAAGCCTAGAAGATTGGTGATACTGTTTAGGTGATATCTCTTTTTTTCCCCCTTCATTCTAATTTTCTAGAAATATTTCTGAAACATGTATATATTTCTAATTGGGAGAAAAACTTTGTACATTTATTCTTTTGATCAGCAAATTAAAAAACAAATGGCAAGCTGTGTACTAGAGGCTCATGCCTATAATCCCAACCATTCAAGTGGCTGATATCCTGAGGACCAGAGTTCAAAGCCAGCCAAAACAGGAAAATCTATAAGACTTGGCTAGGGTCATGGCCAAGTGGTAGAGTACCAAGCAAGCACACCCAGCAATCTCAAGGCCTTGTGTCCCAACTCTGGTGTCAATTTTTAAAAAATAAATAAGAAGGGCAATTGAGTTGTCAAAGTCACAACCCAGACTGGAATGAAGAAGGCCCCAGTTTATGGCATTTCTAGGAAATCCATCTCTGCCCCTATCACCAGATAGTCAGGGTATCAAGACGGTTGTTTAGGAAATAAGCAAAACTACAGCTAAGTGAGGGGCAGAGTACCTCTGCTGTCTTAGGTTTTCTCAAGCACAGGTGCAGGGCCCCACATTTCTGGCAATGTAGGACACCACGTTACAGCAACATAAGATGAGAGTGAGCACCATTCAAATTCTAACACAAATCGGAATTAAATAAAAAGGAGCAGAAAACCTAGATCATGAGATCATTTTTTTAATTTCTGTGGCAGTGCTTAAATAAACTCAACAGACAAAAAAAAAGTCAACAATGACCAGAAAATGATCATCTTGAGCAATATTTGCCCCTTCCTTTTATTAAACTCTGACTACACTTAGCAGCTAAAGCCAGGCATGGTAGTCCCCACCTATAATCATAGCTATTCAGGATTCAAAGACCAGGAAGACCAAAGTTCAATTGCAGCCAGGGCAAAAAGCATGTGAGACCTCACTTCAACCAATTAAAAAGCTGGGCATGGTGTGGAGTACCTGTCAACCCAGCTACATAGGAAGCGTAAGTAGGAAGATCACTGTCTAGGCCAGTCTAGGCAAAAAGCAAGATCCTATTAGAAAAATAACAAAAGCAAAATGGTCTAGAAGCATGGCTCAGGTGGTAGAACAACTGGCTAGCAAATACAAGGCCTTTACTTCAAGCCTAGTACTGTCAAAAAAAACCCAAAAATAATAAAAGAAGCACTCTTACATGTATCATATTTTTCACACATCATTATTATGCCCATGGAAGTAATTTAGGCTTAGAACTGCTGAATAAGTAGTGTATCATTAGGCCTCATGCCTGAATCTGGGCCTGGAGTAGCTGGGAGTCTGTGTTCCTCCCCTAGCTCTCACCGTCTTGCCCTCAGCAGGGCAGACTCCAGTGACCACCCAGGAAGAATGGACGTGATGCAAAGACAAAGACGGGAGCACCTGTTAGGGGCTTTTTGAACATAATTATTCACTGTTATTATCCAGTGGTAAAGGATCTGCCGCCATCACATATAACAATGACCAAACCTAAGCTTGAAGAAGTCCAGTGCACAGATTCTATTCATTGCATAAAAACACGTTCTGTGTTGCATCTTCCTTAAATGACCCTTTGAAAAACTTTCCTAGAGGGCTTTTTACCTTTTTCTGAATGATACCCAAGTAGCAAATATTTGGCACAATTAAACACGATGGAAACTAAAGGTCAAATATAACATTAAATCACTCTTGCCTACTATAAAAACATGATGATCTTAATAAAAAGTAAGATGGGTCTGGGTTTAAGACCAATGTTAGCTCCAGGACTTGGGAGACAATTATCTCTGAAGAAAAAAATATCTCAAAATAAAATTAAAAAGACTGGGACCAGACAAGGTAGCACATACCTATAATCCCAGCTGTTCAGGAGGTGGAGATTGAAAGGATCATAGTTTGAGGAAAGCTCAACAAGTAAGTTGGGCATGATGGTACAAATCCATAATCCCAGCAACACAAAAGGAACAGGTAGAAAGATTAAGCTGGGGGGAAGGAGGGGAAGAGAAGAGAGAGAAACCTTGAGAAATAACTATAAAGCAAAAAAGGACTGGAGTATATACATATAAATGTGTACTGAGAGGGTCAAAGTGTTAATAATAAACATTTAAAAGTGAGCTTATAGGTGATTTCTGTCAACTTCTTTTTTCTGCTTTAAGAATTTCATACATATCCTACAATGTGCTCTTTTTTTGTATATGTGTGTGCCGGGCCTAGGGCTCGAACTCATGGCCTGGACACTGTCCTTGAGCTTTTTTGCTCAAGGCTAGCACTTTACCAGTTGAGTCACAGCTCCACTTCTGGCTTTTTGGTAGTTTACTGGAGATAAAGAGCCTCACAGATTTTCCTGCCCATCTGGCTTTGAACCATGATCCTCAGATCTCCCCCTCCTGAGTAGTAGAATTACAGGCATGAGCCACCAGCACCCAGCTTACAATGTGCATTTTTTATTCTCATAGCTGGAGGGGATACCAATTCCAATTTGGAAATGATTTGAAATGAGCACAGAGGAGCATCAGCCAGTTCACATGGTACCTACATGAGGCAGGGCTACCTTCAGAAGCTGAGTCTCTGAGCTCCTGAACTTTGTGAACTTTGTGACCACTCCAGGACTGGAGTAACATTCACTGCTGCTTCAGTATCCAGCTGATGTCAATCCCGTGACTGCTAGCCATTTAACTCATGCTGCAATTCGTTCAAATCACATGATTTCCCCACAGGTCCCAAGATGCCAAAGAAATGCATTTCTGTGTTTACATGCATTCTTTTCTTTTCTCTTTTTTTTTTTTTTTCAGTTATGGGTCTAGCACTCTACCACTTGGAGCCATAGCTCCACTTCCAGTTTTCTGATGGTTAATTGGAAATAAGAATCTCATGGACTTTCCTGCCCGGGCTGGCTTTGAACTGCCGTCCTCAGATCTCAGCCTCCTGAGCAGTTAGGATTACAGACATAAGCCACCATTACCTGGCACAAGATTCATTGTAGCCCACAAATGAAACAGCCCACGTGAGCTAGCATGTGCAGTCACTCATGCATAATTATCCTTCCTGGATAAAGATGCAGTGAGGGTTCTCCCAGCAGTCAGTGTGACATACAGCTCCTGATCTCTCTGGAGTGCAAGAAAAACAACCCAGCCGACACTGCACTATAAGAGCTCAAATATCACTTCTATCATCTTTCAACTAAGGCTGTTAAATGACTGCATGTCATAAACCTGGGTAACAGTTGGCACTGATGACTCACACCTTTTTAGGAGGCTGAGACCTAGAGGATTGTGGCTCAAGGCCAGCCCACAAAAAAATCCACAAAACCCCATCTCCAAAATAATCACCCAAAAGCAGGCCTAGAAGAGTGGCTCAAGTGATAAGAGTGCCAGAAGAGCAAGCCCAAGGCACTAAATTCAAAGCTCAGCACCACCAAGAAAGAAAAAAAAAATCCCCACAATGCTGCCTTTCCTTCAGAACCTAACAGAGTCATTATACCAGCAAAATACCAGATGTCTGTTTTCTGGCTATTAATTACCAGTATGTCTTGGTATGGGTTTCTTTTTAAGCAATGGAAAACATTGACAGTTTTCCTAATAAATCAGCTTTTAAAGTTTGTTATCGCAAAAGCAAGACAAAAACAAAACACTGTGTAGAAGTCCCCTCGTGTCAGAACAGAGAAAGGGGCAAGTCCAAGGTCCTTCATGTTGCTCGCATACCAATACTCAAACCAATTACTTCCGCTACTCCCCTGTGAGCCAAAGCTCTGCGAAGGATGTGGCCAGGATGTGAAGGACAATCTATGATTGTCTTAAATTCCACTGAAGAACCAACTTCCACTTTGCCACCAAAAGCAACATGGCCTCAGGAAGTGGGAGGAGAGCTGCAGTAACATGAGCTTATTGTAACAATGGGTCTCAAGTGACTCAAAGTTATTGTCATAGGTAGAAACTGCACAAGGAAACTAGAAATATGGGAAGGAAATGCTGAAATAATTACACGCACAAAACTACAATTAGGAAAAGGGCAAGAATATCAAGATGACTAGTAGCAGTCCACACACTAGGAACCAAGGTTAGAAAAAGAAAAGACAGGGGCTGGGAAGGTGGCTCAGTGGTAGAGCGCTTGCCTTGCATGCATGAGGCCCTGGGTTCAATTCCTCAGCACCACATAAGCAAAAAGAAAAAAAAGCTGGAAGTGGCACTGTGGCTAAGTGGTAGAGCGCTAGCCTTGAGCTGAAAAGCTGAGGGACAGCGCCCAGGCCCAGAGTTCGGGCCCCACGACTAGACACCCCACCCCAAAAAAAAAGAAAAAGAAAAGACAGGTCCCAAGACCAGAAGGGAGAAGGCAGCCCAGAGGGAGGTACGAGATGACAGGTGGAAGACTGGGCTGGCCAGGGAGACTGGCTCTGGGCCAATGCCAGCTCTACCACTTGCTGTTTCTGTTACCCTAAGCAAGTCCTGTGAATGTCCTACCAATAAAGCCAGCCTACTTGCGCTTCCTTACAAGGATGCACAGATAAGTGAGATCTATAGGGATCACTAAGTGAAGCTGGGCACGAAATAGGTGTTCAATAAATACCGCAGTAATCTGCAATTGCTACATTTGTATCCTGGCCCTGCTGCTTGGTAGCTGTGTGACAGTGGATACACTGCACCCCCTTGCTGGGATGGAAGACTGCCTTCCCCCACAGGGCTGTGAGAATTAAATGAGATACTCTATGTATCCTGCACTATCTAAAACTTGGCCCAGAGTAAAAGCAGCACTCCCCTGGGGGAGGAGCTGTCACCATCAGCATTATCGCACTGAGGGGGCTGGAGAAGCTCCCGGGCTGTGGGGAACATCCTGTGAAAGAACCATGGCCCTCCTTATTAAAGTCATTCCAGTTCCCTTCGCCGGCAAAGTACCTACCTCATCAGGAGTCAGAATCAAGATAGTCGCTTATTAAACCAGGCCCATGAACTCTTACCTGGGTCTGGGTTTTCTGGGAGGCTTCTTTGGCTTTTGCGAAGGCAGCGTTGAGATCTTTGATTTCAGCGTTAAGTTCCTCAACCTGAGGGAGCAGGGTGGGAATAAGACACAGCAGACAGGGATGCAAACAGGCTCAGCCCCGATGCCTTTCCCACCGCACTGTGCAGTGCTCAGAATCCAGGGAAGACCCCTGTGGGCTCTCTAGGCAGGCTAGTCCTCACCAGGGCTTCACCTCTAGGGGGCCCAGTCCCCACAAGTGTTGTTGCTCTGTGAAGGTAAGGTCTGCACACTGGCAGCTTGGGCTTCGGAGTGGTCTAGTGGAGCCCTTGGGTCGACAGACAAGGGTAGGGAGTAGACTCTAGGACCCATTTCCTATGCCTGAAACCAGTCCTGCTGCTCCTATGTACATCCCTGCCCCTCACTGAAGTTCTGACACCTTCCTCCCTCCTTCCCATTCTCCTCTCCATGGGAATGCAGGTCACATCGCATCAGCCCTCCAGGCTGCAGCCTGTGGAAGCTGTAGACCTGCGCGTGCCTCTGCCTGCAGCACAGCTCTCCTGGAGGGCCTGTCGGTGCCTTCTGAGCAGACCCTTCCCCCACTGCCCCATTGCACCCCATTCTCCACTTCCTGTGCTCTGCACTGGAGCCCTCTCTGGAGTCATACGCCCAATCATCAGACCTCCCCTACTCTGGCCTGTGGCCTTACTTCTGGAATCTACCTCCACCTCTCTCTCCAGTTCTCTCACTGGAACCACATTCTAGTTAGCCTCTCTAGTTGGCTCCCACCTATACTCCCAGCCCCCCTCAACCACCCTCCCCTGCGTCCCCTGAAGCTGGCCCGGCTTCTTTTAGAATTTCAGGCTCTCTCCTAATGTAAGGCCTTCACCAATGTTCAATGCTCTCCCTGTCCACAATGGCTTCCCCGCTTCCTCCACCATCCACCCTTCCCCCTCCCCCGCTCCCCGTCCACCTCCCATCCTGTAAGACCCAGCTCCCTGCTCCCCACCCCACCCTTACCTGGATCAGGTTCCCTTCCCTCCCTGTGCCCTGTGCCTCCTGTGACAAGCCTACCTCCACCTCGCTCACTACACCTGCTAGCCGAATTGGGTCTCTTCTCTTCTCTTGCTTCACTGACTGAGGGACAGAACGGCCTCCAGCGCAGACCACTGGCCCCTACCTAACTGGATCAGCCACAGCCTCGCCTCCAAAATCCCTGTGTCTCAGGGTTCTGTCCTCCTCCCTGAGGTTCCACCTGCACTGGGCAGCAGCGGAGCCACTGGCCACAGGGGGAGCTCGTGAGCCACACTGAGCCACATGGTGAGCTGAGGATAAACTGAAATGCTCGCAAAGTGTGTCTCAACTACAAACGCTTGGTGCTGAAAAAATGAAATATTAATTACTTCAATGATACTTATGAGTGATTTGATCACATGTTGAAATGATCGTGTCTGTGCATGTTAAAGTTAGTTTATCTTATTTCTTTGTATTCACTTTAATATGGCTATTGGAAAATTAAAAGCTGTATGTTTAACTCCTATGGGAGGCAGGGGAGAGAGAACAACACTAGATTTGATACTGTACTCCAAGAGAATTTCCACTAGACAAAAAGGATCCTTTGCCTACTTTCTATTATCTCAGCTCTCTTAAAACTTTTATCTAAAGAAAGCTAAAACTTCATGATAGGAAAGGCTAGCCATGGAAACTAATAAAGAAAACCTCCACTTCAAGTGCATCAGCCGTACCGCTCTCTCCTTTGATTTTAGTGCCGTGGTTAAGCCCTGGATAGCTTTATCCCTCTTTAAACTATTTTTCTTCTCTGTAGCAATTTCTCTTTCTTTCTCTCTCAGGTCCTCCTGAAGTGCCTAAATTAGATTAGAAAAAAAAATCACTAAGTTGATGCATTCTCACCAAAATGCACTGTAAATATATCTTTAAGAGAACACTCAAACGCAGTTATTCTATCTCGTTGCTGTCAACCTGTGATTAATGTTTCCAAGTGGAGCTGAACGCTGTGGCATTAGCTCCACGTTTCTCTGCTAGCGCTCCCGGCAACGGGACTGGGCAAGGGGAGGGATCAGACCGGCTCAAAGGGTGGCAGCTATTCCTGTGAGTACACTAGTGCCTTCTAGAATCTGAATTCAGTCACATCAGAGTCTTTGAAACTGGCCCCGGTTATTTGGGGGGAAATAACAGTTCATTAATTTCACTCCTTGATGCTACAAAAGCTAGCGGAGAATTGGGATTGAGGAAGACCGAGTTCACTTCTGAAGCTGATCACCACTACCTCTCCTGGGCTGGGGAGGATCAAGCCAGACACAGATGAGACAGCACTTCTAAACAGGGGATGCTGTACAAATGGGCTGTGGGACAGGCCTGAATCCCAGGGCAAAGGGCCACCCTGTTCTGAGTGTCAGGTGCCACACCTGCAGAGTGGGCCTGTCCACCTATTACTGCAGTTGGAGACCCTCCCTCTAATGTACCTTAGGCACGGCTGGCATCTAGCACATGGCACTCAATAAGTGACAGCCACTGATAGAGAGAATTATCTGCTGCACTCAGAATAAAGCAAAAGCAAGACAGGGCAAATCTTCAATAAAATTTCAAATTAGATCAACAGACCTGGATCCTCTCTTCAAAGTGATTTCTCTCCTTCTGGCGCTCCGTTTGTGTGGCCTAAGAAAAGGCATTATTGATTGGTGTCAGTCAACCAGAGAAAATGGTGTCCATGACCCAAAGGCTCACCAGAACAATTACAGTGAGCACCTCATTTACTCGCCAACATGAAGCTCCTCCAAACCAGTGTGCCCTCCCTCTCTCAGCCCACCCAAGGCCTCTCCTGGATTGAGTAAAAAAAATCATAAAGACCAGCTGCCTGCTTCATCACCAGCCACCACCGCCCCAGCCCCCGGGCCTCAAGAGTATACCAGGGTGCTTCAGGACAAAATGGAAGGGGCTAGGAGAGAACAGAGCCAGAGGTGGGACACAGGCTTAATAGAAAGAACAAGAGACAGTGGATGATTCCATGTGAAAACTAAAAAATTCACTGCAGTGGACAATATAAAGACCCAGCTCCATGAAGAAATCGAGAGCCATTCTGGGCCTCCAGAACATGCCCCACTGTGAATGACCCATGCAGCAGCCACCCTTGGTCCAACACGAATGGCAGGTGGGCACTAAGACCTACCTGTCCTCTGTCTTCCAGTAGTCTCCAGTGGAGGCCATCTAGAGGCGGGGGAGGGGAGGGAGGGGGGGAGGCCAGAGGGGTGTGGAGTCAGCTATCAGTAATCCAGATCTTGAAGCCTTTAGATAAACATTAACACCCCTCTGAGCCTGGTTCTAAACTCAACATAAGGACCAGCTGGAAAGGGTGGTAACTGAGCCTTTGAGTACTGCCAGGCCCAGGATGGCCTCCCCCCATGGCTTTCAAGGGTCATAGCAAATGCACCTTTGAATTGTCTCTAATCACAGAGGAAGAGCAGACATGTGCAATGCACCACAGTTTCATCCTAGGAAGTCCCAGAGGAGGAAATAAAGTCTCTGGACAACAACAAACTAACACATGGTGAAAGACAGTCAGAACTGGGTTTTTTGTTCATAAATAAGAGGCTGGGGGGAAAGATGCCAGGGCCCTGACAGAGATGGCTTCTGCTGATCATTCAGCTGACAGGGAGGGAAGAGGAAAGGCGACAGGGTGTGAACCATGTAGACTGAAGGCGCTCCATTTGAAGTGTCGCAGCCACGCCCCCCCGCCCTACCCGCCATCCCTGGGCCCTGTCACCTCACCTCATCCTCGTCTCTCTCCTTAGCTTCCTTCAGAGCAGTAGAAAGTCCTCCGAGCTCTCCAGAGGCCACGTTCTCATCAGGAGATGCCATCTGAGATTTCCCCTCTTTAAGGCACTGAATTAAAGCTTCTTTGCTCTTCAAAGACAGCTTCAACTCCTCAATCAGCCTAAAAGAGAACAAAATTTAAATATTAATTCTAAGCTGTTCTCTTAGCTCCATGGAGCAGGAGAGACTAGGAAATGGAGCCAGATCTCTTCAACTAAACATACACACAATCTACATTTTGCAGGTCAGAGATCAAGAGCTCAGAATCTGTGCAACATCTGAATCTCCTGGCCACAGCAGCCAGACCACGGCCTGGTCAAGCCACACCCTGTCTGAAGCCCTTCAGCAGCCCCCATCCATAGCAGTAGTTACTAATAATTTCACAAGAAATCACTTTTTGGCCAAGAAATCCCCTCTTCAAAAGAAGCCTGTCGCCAAAGCTCAAACACAGGGAGCCACTCGAGAGCTGTGCGGATCGTGACTCCACAGTCTCTCAGAGCAAAGCTTAAAAACACACTGACTCTCAAGCTAACAGCCAAATGCCCGGGCCAGGGTTCTGAGGCCCAGTCTGCAGGCTGTGACAGCAGGCTGAACTCTCAGGAAAGCCTCCCCACTACCACTGAGCAGCCTCACTTCCAGCTCTCTTCAAAGCCAGGCTGTTTTATGCCCCACATCCCCCATGCCTTTGCAGTGCTATCAATACCCTCTACCTGGAATGTCCTTCCCAACCCTTCCACCATCTCCATCCAATAAGCTCCCTATATCCTCTCCTCAAAGAACCTTTGCCCCACCATACCCTTCAGGCAGAGCTGAAGACATCCTTCTCTGGACCACCAAGCCATCTTGCAGGAATTGGTCTCTGACCACAAGTCATGTGACCTCTCTGCACCTGCATGTCTTTGGTTATAGAATGGGGCAACGTGCTTGTGTGGCCTGGGGATCCACATTGCCTGGCATACAGCAGAACTCAGCAAGTAACACCTGCAGTAAATATTACTTTTTTAGAACATTCAACTATTAGAACTCCAATACTCAGAAGAGCTCTTCTGTAGCTGAGCCTGGACAGTATCTGAACGTGGTACACAGAGTGGAGGCTCAGCGGGCCACCCTCATGAAGCAATCAGCATCCCCCAGAGAAGGTCAGGTGATAGAGGCGGCTGACATATCCAGCAATGCCCTTCAATGGGGCAGGGGGCACCAGGCAACCTGTGTGGTGTTGCCCAAAATGCAGAGGAAGGAGCAAGACTGCCCTCTAGGGGCTCAGCTCTAAAATAAGCCCAAAATCAAGTGGAAATGTACAGTCATGCCAAGTTGTATAGAATGCTAACTCAATAAACTTGTTTATTTGCTCCTTGCTAATTAGCATCAAGTATGTTCTAGATATGATGAAAATGTGTAGAGGGCTGGGATCACGAGGTGAGACTGAGGCCAAATAAAACTCCGCTCATTGACAGAGAATAGCAGCCTCCTTGCCACAGATGGAGCCTGGCGCTGCCACATCTTCAAGCTTTCGAGAGAAGCTACAAACTCATACTTTTGTGTGAAATTCACCGTTTTCAATATTGGCAACTATTTAACTCTGAAAAATTCTGTGGAGACCAAAGAAAAGGTATCTGCTAGCCACATTCAACCTGCAGGGCTCCCTGACACTGCCTCCAACGTACAGAACAGCTGAGAGGCCAGACTGAAGGAAAGAAAGCAGTGACTATAAGTGCCTCTGAAAAAGATGCTGGGAGCCAGAAAGATGCTGGCAGGGCGCATCCGAGGAAGGGGCAGACCTCAAGTCGTAACAGTCTGCCTGTCCAATACTGGGTCACTCTTGTGTGTGGCAGACCTGGACTTTTCTCACCAGGACACAACCACGGAAGCCAGCTACCTAGCCACGCTAACCATCTGACGTTGGCTGAGCTTCAGATAGGGAACACACTGATCCTAAACCCCAGAGAGTATCACCCAAGTCAATGAATATCTGACTGCTGCCTCAGAGTGGGGTATGGCTGGCACCTCTGTCCCTGAGGCAGATGCATTCACAACACTGACAGAGCAGACTCTGGCCATCCAGCAAGTTCTGTGGGAACCTCCAGGAAAGTGCCGTCTCCGTGAAGCCCACTTCCACGTGGTCTACCACACTCCCTTCCAAATGGGCGAGTCAAACTTAGACAGGACACCCTGACAGAGACAGCTTTCCTCTAGCACTCCTGTGAAACGTGCCAGCCTCTGGACCCTGGCATTCTTTCTGGGCTGGAAACTCCCAGGGTTCCTCCTGAAGGGCTTTCCCTGCCCCACACCCAAGCACAGAGTCCTGAACTCACCTCTATGGCTACATCCATCAGGATGTACAAAACCACAAGGGTGCTCCACAGAAACAAGACCCTGTGTATCTCTGCATTCCAGACACAAATGCCCCAGGCCTCACTCCTCAGTTAAAGAAGGAATATGCGTGTCCTCTAATGTCAGCCTGGATCCATGTACCCACCCACCTCCTGGCCTCCACTCACTGACTCACAGACTCCTTGAACTATGTCTGAAAGCATCATCTGCCCACTAGTTCCACTCAAAAGCATATCTTCTTTCTTCTCCCAAATTCAGCAAACCACACTAGCATGGCTCATCTGCTCATGCTGGGAGAGGTTAAGTAATACTGTAGCTCTTCCCTCAGCCAACCAAGCCCTGGAAGCTCACATGCACGCCACCTTCTCCCACCTCCACCTGTTCACTTCCAAGCCTGGTCCATCCTGGTCACCATCACCTCCCCTGTATATGTCTTTATCAGCAGGAGACCAACCTTCCACAAAGACCCAGAGCAAACAAATCCATTCCAGCCAAGGGATCTCTCTAAATCTGACTGTGGTCCTGCCCCCAAACCTCATCCCTCACACTCCAGTGGCTTCTCACATACCTTCGGGATGAAACCCAGACCTTCCACACAGCCCCACTGTTCCTCTTCTCACCTCCTCCCACTGCCCTGCCAGAACATAATACTTGGCCAGGCTGAATGGCTTTTCCTGCCTGCCTGTTCATCTGGACTGTTATACAAACCATTCCTATCCCTGGAACACCTTACACCCAATTCTTTGTCCAAGTAATTTCTCCTCAGTCTCATACAATAGCTCATCTTTATCCATTTACCTAAAGTAGATTCACAGTAGTTAACCACGGTCCAAATATATTAAGTGAACATGATAGAAATAATTCATAAATGTTAAATGGATGTCACACTACAGCATAATGAAATCTCATACTGTCCTCTCCTTCCCACCTGGCACATGAATCATCCATGCTATAGATGCTACCCACCCATTGGTCACTCAGAAGTCATCCTGGCTATCACATGGACTGTACAAAGTGCTTGTGTCCAAGTAACCCTAACAGAACGCCACAATGCCTGTGCATCAACCTGTGGGGCATCACAACAATACACAGTACAGTACGGTATTTTGAGAGAGAGAACATGGTCACAGGCTTTTATTATAGAATACTGTTGTGTTTGGTCTGCTTTATTATTGTTGTTGATACCTTTACTGTTTCTAATATAATTATGAGTAGGACAAAACATACACTCAGGTTTCAGGCATTCACACATCCCCTACAGATTAAAAGAGGACTACTGGACTTGCTGCAGGAAACTTCTAGTCTCTCCAAACTGAATTTGGTAATGATTGTGCTGTTTGTGCCTCTTCCACCCTTTCCACCTCACTACATGACAAGCTTAAATTTAGACGATGAATGACAATGATCTAATTGGTATCATTCAGTCCTTTATTCCAATCCTATTATGTAGAATAGAAGATGCAAAGGAAACATTTATTGAACGAAGGACATGATGATCCAACAGAAGCAATGAATTGCCTGACAAGCTTCACTGATACACACACCCCCAACATGCGTGTGAGCACACACACACGCACGCACACACACACACAGGGTCTTTCCAATCAGCTCTATTTCAGGACTTCTTTGCAAACCCCTTCCAGCCTCCTCCTTTCTTCCCCATCACAGGCAGTTGGAATTCTATTCCACATTCTACTCTATTCTATTCCATTCCTTGAGCTTCTACCCCAACTTAACTGCTAGAACCTATAGACAGTGTAGGAAAACAAGTCCATAATGAGATGTACAAGTCGTTATGTGGAAATACAAACTTTACAACTTTGGCGGTGGCGGGGGGGGGCGGAATAGGATGGGGCAGGAAGGGGAAACAAAGGAGGAGGCAACAATGCTTGATAAGAAATGTACTCATTATTTTGCCCATGTAATTGTAACCCCTCTGTACGGTATTTTCACAATTGGAAGAAAAAAAAAAAAGACTCTTAGAGCTTCACTATTAATCAGCTGGGAAGAGAATGTGGAATTTTAGGTGGGAATTTCTCAGTCAAGTGGCTCCTGACTTCTTGGATGCTGCCTGGAAAGGTCAATAATTAGAGTGGAGCTTGGCAAGGTGCCCCCTCCAGGAAGACTCCTATTACTGCAATGTGGCCAAGAAAAACCCAAGGCCAGCAGGGCACCAGTGGCTCACGCCTGTAATCCTAGCTACTGAAAAGGCTGAGATCTGAGGATCACGGTTCAAAGCCTGCCGGAGCAGAAAAGTCGTGAGACTCGATTTATCTCCAATTAACCACTAGAAAACCAGAAGTGGTGCTGTGGCTCAAGCGGTAGAGCGCTCACCTTAAGCTGAAGAACGCAGGGATAGCTCCCAAGCCCAGAGTTCAAGCCCCACAACCGACAAAAGAAAAAAAGAAAAACTCAAGGCCTTAAACAGGCAAACTGTCACACTCACTTCCTCCACCAAGGTTCAGAGAATTCAGTTCCTAATTGCAACACTTCCATCTTCCCAAACAGAGGTGAGAAAAATCTACATTGCATCCTACAAATACTAGTTCCTCCAAATGCTGAAGCTAGCACACTTAAGTTTGGAGGCCACAGGCTCTCCCTCAGCATCCATTGCTCCTTTCACTAATAATCAAGATGAACAATCATCTGATTTCCTAAACCATGACTAAAGATAAGTCTTTATTCAAGTCTCAAAATAGGACCAGAACAGGGGTAAAGGCAAACAGCAGTTAGACAAGAGGTCTAAACAACATGGGACTCATCCACCCAGGGACACTGAGTGACCAAGAAAATCAACCACGTCAAAATCCTGTGGAACACATCATTAACTTTGGAACAATGTCATCAAATTCCAAACACGTGAGGCTCTTCAACCAAGGTTACCGCAAGCCTCATCCTTGTTTAGTTAAGTCAACCTTTCACTTAGTGACCATCAAATAACACAAGAGGGTCAATATGTAAGAACAAAATTTCAGGTTTCTTCTAATTTTTATCGAAACCTTGATTGCAACATACGGTAACTAAAAAGCCCTCTTGTGCATCCACTTCCCTGAACCAAATGGCACCTATCTTATTCTGGATTATTCACGAAATTTCCCTTTAGCAGTGCCAAGTAAAACAGGACTTCCTGAGTCTGTGGCTTGTTTTAGCTAGCAAGTAATGTGAATGTCAAGTCCAGACAATTGGTTCTTCCTTTTTTTATCGTTTGGGTATCAGGTGGCTTTTAGCCAATACTGAACACTAGAGTTAGTATTTAAGTAAAATGTTTCAACATAAATTTTTATCTACTAATGGCCAATCTCCTCCTATTACTATCTGTTAATCTCCTCCTATTACTATCTATTTCTTTTCCTTTCCATCCTGATTCTGCCCCTAGTTTTCTGTCTTCCTGTATTGGGTGGGTTCTAGTAAGCAACTCAGGCCCCATGTGGAATGCTGAGGGAAGGCAGGGAAAGGGAAGGGAAGCAATATTTTCCCCTGCTGCAAATGCAAGGTAATAGGGTTTCACAGGGATCCCAGCAGACCTGTCCTTCTCGTCCAGGGCCAGAGCCACCTCCAAGTCCCCCTCCTGCATCTTCTTCATCGCTGCAAGCTGGCTTTCCAAACTCAGCCGAAGAGCCTTCTCCATTTCTGTCCCCACAAAGGCTTTCTCCAGTTCTGCTTGGGCGGCTTTCACATCCTAGAGTTAAATTAAATGCATTTGATGCAATTTTTCAATACAATTGGGAACATTTTGAAAGGAAATTGGATTAAAATATAAATATTTATGACTTTTTCTCCGGCACATTTCCCCTCCCTGAATGGTATTATACATGGGAAGAATCGGTAATAAATACATTTGCCAGCCATTTTTCCCTCCTGTATCCTGAAGAGTAATAGGCATTTCCAATGGAAAAGACTCAACTCTACGAGAATGATACTTTCGGTTGTGAAAAATCAGATCAATATTTACAGCTTCAGTGAGAACAAGAAGAAATGCGCCTCTCAATACTAAACACATATCAATTTCCAAGTCATCGTAATCTCCATTCAAATTTGTCCCACACCCCACCGTCCCCTCACTGTGTCTTTTTAAGATAATGACTATACAATTCTAAAGTACATTTTCCGTATCTCCAAGGTGATTTAAGCAGTGAAAATCTCTGTGCTCTTTCTGAGAGCTGAGAGAAGCCACCAAAGAAATTATCTAAAACACGCAGGCAGTGTCTATGTTGGGAGAAAGGCCTCAGTGCTCACTCAAGGGACCTAGGGGGAGACCTGAATCATATATCACAAGGACTGGCTTTCAGACCTAGTTAGCTAATGCTGCGTGTGGTGATGCACACCTCAAATCTTAGCACTCTGGAAGCTAAGGCAAGAAGACTGAATTTGAGGCCAGTATGAACTACCCAGGTCAGTTTGGGCTACATAACAAGACCCTGTCTCCACAAATAAAACACCCAGCTTTCCTACGTACTTGCGGTATGGACTATGGATAGATACTTAACCTCTTTGAGCTCCAAGTTCTCATTCTATAAAACAGGATAAGCACTATCTCGTTGAAGAGCTGCTGGGAGATGCTTTCTGCAGAAAGCTTCTGAGGAAAGGACTGGCTTGCTATTCCTGCCCTTTCCTTAGTGCCTACCTACCCAGCTCCATCTTCCCAGAAGTCTTGCCTGTCCATGCCCATGAGAGCTGGTACAAATCAAAGCCTGTCATTTACTGAGTGCCTACTAAATGCCAGACTCTGAGCAAGAACATTAATTCATATCAGATTTTGTCCTCATCTACCCCTATAGTGTGATATACTAAGACAGTAGAGTATCAGAGTCTACAACGTAGGCTGGCAGCCAGCCCTCCTAATATTTACTGCCCAGGTGACTTTGAGCAAGTGACTTGGCCACACTGTGCCTGTTTCTGATGTAAAAGGAAAAAAGAGAAAGAGAAAGGGTGATGGAGTACTTACCTGATTGGTTCCTGAAAGGATCAACTAAGAATCAGTGTGGAGGGAACCCCAATGCCTATTAGCCCCACTCATTATTGCTGTCACCACTGTAGAGCAGGTGTGCTGTCCCTCCCTCAGATGAAGAAGCACAGGCCCCGGGAAGGCAAATACCAAAGTGATAAAGATAGCAAGGGACACAGCAGAGATGTGCCACTCCAAAACACTGCGGTACTAGCTCAAAACAGCAAGGTGATTGAATCAAGACTAAGCAGGGTACAGTGGTTCTCAGCAGGAGGGCAAGGGAAGGAGGTTAGCAATGTTGGTTAGACCAATGTGGGTCTGTAGAAAAAAAAAAAATTTTTATTAAATAGTATAGGTTAGGCATCCTTAATATAAAAAATCTCAACTCTAGGGGCTGGGAAGGTGGCTCAGTGGTACAGTGCTTGCCTTGCATGCATGAGGCCCTCAGTTTGATTCCTCAGCACCACATAAGCAGAAAAAGCTGGAAGGGGTGCTGTGGCTCAAGTGGTAGAGGGCTAGCGCCCAGGCCCAGAGTTCAGGCCCCACAACCAACCAAAAAAACCAAAAAGAAAAAAAAATCTCAACTCTAAAATGCTCCAATATCTAAAAGTTTCTGAGTGCAAGCATAGTATCACAAAGGAAAATTCTACACCTAATCTCACAAGACAGGTTGCCGTCAAAATACCAGCCACTAAATACTTGTCTTTTGGCTCTATACACTAAGTATACATGAAACTAAGTGAATTTCATGTCTACACTTGGACTCCATCATAAAATAATCTCATTGTGTGTAAGTAAATATTCCAGATTTTTTTAACTCCAAAATCTTTCTGGTCCCAAGCACTTGAGAAAGGGACAGTCAACCTGAATGATTTACTATTAGCTTAAAAGGAGACAGAATATTTTAGCTAGGATTCAAACCACAGTCACAGGAAAATGAGGAGACATTCAATGAGTACTGGCAAGATGGTAGGATGAAAGCCAGATCTGAGGACAACACCTGAAGAGACAATGGCTAGAGACCAAGGAATCTAGGTGTAGGCTCGCCTGGCAGTAGGTTAAGTCTTTCCTTTCAGTGGGATTCAGCTTCCTCAGCATTACAACAGGACCAAACTGGACAATAAACAGTGATGTTGTGGAAAGCCCAACTTGAAAAGCAGCACACAATTTAAACTTGGGATTTCACCTGCACTGTGTGTACTCGCTGTGCCTCCTCAAACAGGAATGTGTATCCCGTGTATCCTCCAATAGGAATGAAGATAATGGTGGCCAATTGGCTGGGCAGAGGTCTTATAAATTATAAATACAGACTGCCAGAAATGAGCTAGAACCTAAGAGATGCTTAGTGAGGATGAGGGTGGCTGGGTACTGCTAAAACTCCTGAGAGTTCATGAAACAAACAACAGCAGAGGGTCTCCCCTGTCAGACCACAGTGCGAAACATGGCCACTCAGGCTCCCAGACCTACCCCTTCCAGAAGGCGGATTCTTCTTGTTAGGAGGTCTTCTACCTGCTGCACCTTCTTCTGGGCGTCTTCTTTCACCCGCTGAATCTCAGAGCCACCCCCTTCCGCTAAACTCTCCACCGCTTTGCTGCAAAGAGGCAAAGGGATAGATGGTATGAGAATGGCAATTCAGAGGTCCCTTCACCAGCCCCAAAGATACAAGAAACATTCACTCATTGTTCCTCCCACTTACCTGAGCTGGCAGAAAGAAAAAAGAGAAGAGGAGAGGAGAGAAGAGGAGGGGAGAGGAGGGGAGGGGAGGGGAAAAGAGAGAGGGAGGGAAGAGAACCAATATTTGTAATTCCAAGATATAGGTTAAGAAAAAGTTAAGAATCAGCTATAATCTTGTCACCCAGGATAACTAAGGCAACATTTTAGTATACAGCCTTTCAGACATGCTCTATAAAAACAGAAGCATTTGGTACATTCCTAAACTGATTTGATTCTTTCCTATCAGTAAATATAATCTGAATCATCAGTTTAATGGCTACGTATGAATTCATTCTATGAAATATGCTGTAACTGATTAAGTCAATTTCCTACACTTTATACATGCAAATTGTTTCTGATTTAATACATCTGTCTGACAATATAAAGACCTGAAGACCATGGTCATGCAATGCTCACTAGTGCCACTGTCGCATTTAACAGCCGCACTGTGACCAAAGCTTATGTGTGTTACTATCCAGTGGTTTCCCAAGAAAAGATTCCCCAGGAGGGAACGGCTGGGTCAAAGGGCAAGCACTCTTTTAACACTCAAGATAGCTATTGCCATACTTCCTGCGAGGGAGCTTCAACAAAGGACACATCCACTGGTGGCTTAGGAGAAAAGCATTGACAGACCGCCATGCAAAGGAGCAGTATTTCATCTCCTGCCAGCTAGAGGAAAGAGCAGTTTCGGAAGGACAGGATCAATCTGTGTGAGTGCAAGCTACCACTTCGGGCATGAGGCAAGGAGATCATGAAGCCTAACACTGCTGTGGCCCCTTGGAATATTCCCTCAGCACAATTAATGTGGGGGACAGCGCTGCTCCAAAGCTAGACCCAGGGGCCAAGCCACCAACACTGAAAGCAAAGCAGGATCTCGCAGCTTAAGACTCTGAGCTGTTCCCACAGATTTCTAAATGACTGCAGGTTTCCAAAAGGCAGATAACAGAGGAAATGGCTCCACCTAAAGCTGGTTTCTCAGAAAAACTGCAAAAAAAAAAAAAAAAAAAAAAGGTTCAGTTGCCCTCTATGCACTACTTCAGAGGTATATAAAATTTCCACGTGACCTGGACATGCACATGTGCAGGTCACATGAACAGACAGAGAACAATACAGAGTCAAAAGGACCATGCCTGCTGTCCAAGTCCCCCAACAGGCGTCATCTGCAAGTAAAGACTGTATTCACATTGGCCGTTCCTCTCACCAATAAGGCTTCAGAGCCCCAGCGTGGCAATGCTGTGTGAATAGAACTCAGTGTGAACAGCTGAAGGAACGGGCATGGCTCTGACGCTGGACAGATCTGCTTCCAAATTCTTGCTCCATTCCATTCCCCAGCATGACCAGTCTCAGCAAATCATCTACTATATTTCACTTTCCTCACATGAGAAGATGAGATGACTGCTTTGTAGAATTAATATGCTTACACAGGGGTCACCTCTTCCTCCCTGATTGGAGTGCTATGCTCATGAGCCCCAGATCTGAGCCCAGGGCCACAATGACCCCTGATGAGCAGTTGGGAGACCTTGTGCCAGTGTCTGAGCTGAGAACAGATTATCCCCAGCCAGAACCAAGGCCCCCATGCCCATGTCATAAGAGTGCCCCCACTCTCTCTGCTCATTTCTGGGTCAACACCGTCTCAAATCACAAAGACTCAACCTCATTCCTACCTACACTATTACAGGGGGCCAAAAGAACACGCCTTGCTGCACCTGCTTCCTAAGCCCTAGAACAAGATCTTCCCAGGCCTGCATTTCAGCTACACGCTCACAATGTCTTAGCCCTTGGGCTTTATGGAGCCCCACTACACAACAGTTCCTTTCTATAGCCCCTATCCTCACTGTGTTGTATTCTCACCTGACAGTCTCCCTCCCATCAATCTGTCAACCCTGCTCTAACCTTGGCTTTTTACAGCCTGAATCACATACACTGTCAAGAGGCTGACTACAATTTTTAACAACTACTGGTATTATTCAGTTTGTTTGTGTTTTAGTTATACCAATAAAATATATTCCCAATAATAAATGCTCCAACTTTTCATTTATCATCTTTGTGTTTTACAGTTACTGTAGCAATAAAATTTATACTCAGCAGTATGGTGCAATTTTCCTCTGCTAATGGAATTATTATTTTTTGTTTGTGCTTTAAAGCTACAGAGATAAAATGTACTCTCAACAATATGACTGCTTTTGCTTTTAATGTCTCCTTACCATAACTGATGAATATAACAATGGAAAAACCAACAAACAAACGTCTTCTGGGCACTAGAGCCAGACCAGACTCTTCTGTTACCATTTCGGACAAGTTCCCTGCATTCTAGGCCTCAGTCTTCACTTCACTGAAATGGGAACACTGGCTGTCTCACACAACTGGTATAAACACAAGAAAGCACATCCAATGCCAGGCACAGATTTGGAGCAAAGCAGGATCTGACTATTGTTAGTTCTCCTTCTTCCCCTGCCTTTTCTTGTAGAATCCGGGCTAAGAGACCAGGTAGACGGCAAGCCCTAATGGGAACTGTCTACTCCAGCTTTCTACAATCGCTATCCGTGACCCTTTTCCGTCATCAACATTTCCTCTGCATCCTTGCCACTCTACTTATAGCTCATAGAGATTTTCCTGTGCTGGGTGCCATGTCCCACGCTATCCCCCACCAAAATGCCTAACTGAAAAGGGGAGGTGGTGAAGGCATAACAGTAATATACTTTCCATCAACACGTGTTAGCTACAGACACACTCCCGTGGTGCTGGGTAACTAGGAACAAAGGGAAAGGCACACTAGTAGTTACATGATAGATACAGAACAGCCACATAGACGCCGTATACATACTGTCTATACATGAAAATCAAACACAAGACAGAGCAGGAAACCTACTCTGGTAAGACACTGGGACTAGTTCTAGCTCTAGTGCTGACCCTCCTGAATACAAGTCACAGCCCATCTTTCGCTAGGCCTAAATCCTTCTTCAATAAAACAAAGACATCATGTGGGTTTGCCTGGCTCCCAGGATAAGGATGCAATGTACTTGGAGTGGAAATGTTTTCTCCCCCAGAAAGTGCTACACATAGGACTCTCATTGTATGACAGAGTCTGTGAGGAGGCCAATGTGGGCAGAAGTTGCACATGGCCCATTTAAACCTGTACAGAGAGCAAGGTGACAGGAAAGGCATTAGGCTGGAAGAGGCTGAGAAGGGGCAGAGATCAGCAGGGGCAGTCAGTCATCACACAGGAGCAAGCATACCACCCAACTGTGTGTGGGACCCAGAGTTGGTAGAGAGGGAGCTCTAGTGGTTATGTCACTGTGAATACTCCTAAAGGGAGCTCATGGCCTTCATGATGCTACCTTCTCACCAGTCACCAATGCCTACTGACTTTGCCTCCAAAAGATCTTTCATATCCGCCTCTCACACACATAGTCTACAACGCAGCCCTTGCTCATGCACCAGGTTAGCTTCCTCACTGGCCTCCTTCTTTATTTCCAGTTCCTTCCACCAACTATTTCCCACCCAGCATCACAGCAACCTTTTCAAAAGCAACTCTTGGTGGTGTCCCTTGCTTATTTGATCTTAGACTAACACAATACCTTCTCCAACATTTCTTCATCCACTCACTGTTTAATTACCACTCACATCTCCTCTGTACATCTAGATGTAGGTAGGTACCTCTAGATGTACTTGCATACCTACATCTACAGATCTACTAAGGAAGCTCCTTGTTCTCTCTTTATAGGCCTTCCTCCAGTTTGTAGTACAGCCAGTGTTCATACCCATCGTGCCCACTAACAAGAAGCCTTGTGTTCAAATCACCCCTAGAACCCCAAGAATTTGTCCAGCATAGCACATCTAGCTGCTTTGTAATTATTTTCTAAGGAAGTTATGAGTCAGATTATAAATGGCCTCAAGCTCTGAGGCAATCTGAGAAACTTGTGTATACAAGGCCCCAAAACACTCCAGTCTGTGTGCTAATACTGAGGAACAACACAAGCTCTTGGGAGTTGGGAGACCTACAGCAGGCAGTGCAATGAGTATTAAACTGAACACTCTATTGTTGATCTTCAGGCCCGCTAAAGCAGATTTGCCCAGAGAATGATGTGGCATTAAATTAATTAATTAATTAATTAATAACCTGGTCATAGTCACTCATTCATTCAGAAAATATAAAGTGTGCAAGTTCAAAAAGATTCAGAGGTGGCCTGAGTCTAATCTGCTCAAAGCCAGCAAGGCCAACTTCTAGTTGCTGGACACCTGGCCATGAGAGGAACTTGTGCAGCACAGCACATCACAGATGCTTAGTAACTGCTCTGGCCCAGAGTAGTACAGCATGCCCTATGCCAGACTCGGGCTCCTGGCCTGCCACAGCCAGCAGGAGCTCGCTGCCACATCCCTCAGTGGGTCAACCTTGGGATGTCTATTCCACTCTCTTGAACAAAATCTAACACACATGGTGTCCCTACTTCTCCCATAAATGCCCTCTCTCACTGCACCTCCACTCTGACTGGTAACCCTCCTCTCAGCCATCCTGGTCAGTTCTGGGGGTAAGAAGGCATCTTCTTCAGATCCTCATCTATTATATAATAAGCAATGACAAATGAGTAAAGAATCAACCCCTCCATCAGCTATAGTCACCTTCCTGTGTGTGTTGTTCAATAAACATCTGAATAAATAAACTAATTAATGGAACTACTAGCTTTCAGCTAATGTATGTTATTAAAATCTCCTTTAAACAAAATACTACAAAAGACACTGGAATTCATGCAACAGGTTTGAAACCAAGTTCCAAGGCTGAAGCTCCACCCTGTCCTCCCTGCCTTACATACCAGGACCTGTTCTCATGCCCCAGGCTGTACAGCAATGATAATGGATGAACAACAGGCATAATTCACCACAGGCAAATCTCCCAAATACACTGCAGAGAAAAGAACACACACACACACACACACACACTGCACAACTTCATTTACACCAAGTTCAGAAACAGGCAGAACTAAGCAATCCGTGGTAACAGTAGTTAGCAGTGTCACCTTGGGGGCAGAGTCTGAGTCCTAAGAGCATGAAGGAAGCCTCTTGGGGCTGGTAATGTTTGCTTCTTAATCAGGATGGTGACCATGTGCTAGGTCTGGGAAAATCTATCATGCTGTACCCTTGAGTCCTGATCATTTTCCACAGCTATGTTACACTTGAAAATAGGTAATTAAACAAAAACAAAGACTTCCTTGGGGTCCTCAGAGGCCAGTCAGAGAACAGCTGACTTGAGAAAGCAGCTGAGTGTATCTCACTGGCCAGCTTAGCAGCCACTCTGCGAAGCTCCAGCAAACTGCAAGCTTTTGAAGTATGACAGTACTCACGAGGCTTTGATGAGCAGTTTCTCTCTCTCGTGGAGCTCCCGCTTCAGACTTTCTACTTCCACCTTGAGCTCAATGTTCTTCCAGACAACATAAGGAAAGAAAAGAATCAGTGTAAGACACAGAACCTCCAGACACCGAGGGTGGGCAAACTACTTTTAGCATGGATTGACTGCACAATGCTCCTAACAGCAGATCTTAGATTCAAAACGCTCATTAGCCTCAGGGCTCAGGAAAAGGGGAATTATTAAACACTGGTGGTCTCAAAAAAAAAAAAAGCCCCTGGATTTCTTAGGACTTGGAACAATTATGTAAATACTCCAAGCTTCTAACAGCAAGAGCATTCTAATACTTAGGCATAAATGCCATACAAGTGAAGCTGATTTAAAAATTGTTTGCCCTCCACCAAGCAAATTTACAGTTTGCTTTTGCCATTCCAAGGCAATTACTTCTGGTTGTTTACAATCATGCATGTGGTGGCTGCAGCTGTAGGAACATGTTATGGCTTTAAAAAAAAAAATTAACACCTGTGAAGAGATAAGAAGGTGGTCTCAGCATGGCCTCTCTTGTTTCAATATAAGAATTGAGGATACTCCCAAAACAACCACAATAGCAAGGGGCAAGCTGTCTCAAAGGGATTTCAGTGTTCTTCAACTAACAAACTAAAACAAAGGGAGTCCTACACGGCCTAGGCTTACAACTCACATAAGAATCCACAGACAGGCCAGATGCCAGGCTGTAATCCTAGCTGCTATTCAGGAGGCTGAGATCTGAGAATCAAGGTTCAAAGCCAGCCTAGCCAGAAAAGTCTGTGAAACTCTCATTGCCAAGCAACTACTGAGATAAAGCAAAAAGTGGAGCTCTGGCTCAAGTGGTAGAGCACTAGCCTTTAGCAAAAAGAAGCTAAGGGATAGCAACCAGGCTCTGAGGTCAAGACCCAGGGCCTGCACCAAAAAAAAAATCCAAAGACAGAATCTTTGGCAGATGGAAACAATGTGAGACCATGGTGCAATGGTGAGCTTCTCAAACCTATCCACAAATGGATGGAGATGGATATGACATAAGTTATGCAGGAGAGACAAGCTGTAAGCATCTACTTTGCAGAGGACTGCTATACATCCAAAATTTCTCTGAATTCTCTATCCTGATTTATTTTAGGAATTCACATTAATGTTACACTCTATTCTGTACCATGCATGCATTATTTTAAATTAAAATAAGTCTTCCAATTTAAAATCTCAAGGAATATGCTTGCCTCCTTCTTGCTCTGGGGAGGAAGTACCCCACATTAATCCTAAATTCAGCCAAGCTGGGCACTGGTGGCTCATGCCTGTGATCCTAGCTACTCAGGAGGCTGAGATCTGAGGACTGCAGTCCAAAGCCAGCCCAGGCGGGAAAGTCCATGAGATTCTTATCTTCAATTAATCACCAGAAAACTGGAAGTGGCACTGTGGCTCAAGTGTTAAAGCACTTGCCTTGAGCTGAAGAGCTCAGGGACAGTGCCTAGGCCCAGAGTTTAAGACCCACTACCGATGATAAAAAAAAGTTTTTTAAAGGAGGCTAAAAATTGAAAACCCAGAAATGAACCTACAGACCTATAGCCATCTAATCTTCCATAAGGGAGCTAAAGCAATAGAATGGAACAAAGACAGCCTCTTCAGTAAATGGTGCTGGCAAAATTGGTTAACTACTTGTAGAAAACTAAAGCTAGATCCTTATATATCACCCTGCACCAGAATCAACT